TTATTATAATATTATTATTATTATTACTATTACTATTATTATTAAGTCCAATATTGATGATAAAGAGTTAAGTAAACATTATTTCCGCGTGAGGCAGAAAAAAATTTAATACTTCCAATAATTGCGGGCATAAAGTACAACAACATCTAGATACACGTTGAAAAAATTAAATATTGTGCTTGGCAAGCACATTCATCAAATGTGTAATTCCTAAGACAACTCGTTGGCGCTTGTCGCTGTAAAGGAGAGCAAAAATTTTGTAACAACGTAGACGACGTAATAACGTCCGTTCAACAAGTGGTTGTAAACGATAACATAAACGGTCGATGCCGCGCAGCAGTTATTTTCCGATCGAGATGAGAATGGTGAAAAAGAGCCACGGAAAAAGGAATGCAAATCTTGCGGCGGCTCAACAAGTGGCTACTCAAATTTTCAAAGCCTGTAGCCTGTGTCGCAATCGGACAGCCGACTAATTGAGCTCCTGATAACCAAAGCCCATTAGGGAACTGATAAAAACGACGAATTAAATTTCATTCGACAGAAGTTCTCTCGCCAGAAAGCAAAACGACGGCCACTGCGTCGCTTATGAGAAGTGCGAAGAGATCTAGAACTGCGATATATTTATTGTGTACCAAAATTAAACGGGACGAAAGAAATTTCATTGAGATATCACGTTCACGTCGTGAAATGTTGAGCGAGAAGAAAAATTAACTTGACATTTCAAAATGATCTGTGCTTCGCATTTCGCGTTTGTCAAAGCAAATACCGACCTCGACTTGTATAGTCGCAACTTCCGCGACAGACGTCACGCGCTTGATATTAATCGAAGGGACAATTGCGAGAGATACGCCAGTGAAGAGGAGAAAGCTAGAAACCAATCGCTGACACGAGCCCGATCGGCGCGGCCTATTTGGCCCATTTAGTAACGGGCTGTGTGATCGTGTCGAGCATGTGAGACATTAATGCGTTGCGACGTTTCGAACGTCACGCCTGTCGATCGGACTCGCCTGATTTCAGCTTGAAAACGAACGTGATGTGTGTGCCGATAAAAACACTTTTTCTCGTAGTCCGTGTTCCTCGAAATCAGAGTCATAATATTAGAGACATGACCGTGAAGTCTCGTTTACCCGAGAAAAATTTTAATATGTGTAAATCAAATTTACTTGCTCTCTCTTTATCGTTGTTCTAATACAAATCATTATATTGATCTTCCTCGCAACAAAGAAAAAGTGAATTACGCAAACTAAGTTTGCATACAAGTTTCTTTTCGCTAAATTAAATAAAAAAGATACTGCGATGATTGACAAGTATAAACAAAAATGTTCCTTTAAGAAAAAATCTCCAACTTTCCAATGGAATTGTACGATAGAGACGTCTGGGGAAGAACAATGAAAAGAATGGTCGATAGTCAAGATTGGAAACAAAAACTGGCATTAAATCGTCATGTATTCTTCGGATTACTCGTGATGTGCTTATTTGGGTCAGACATCTTTCGAAAAAGAAAATGAGGCTGGCAAATGCAGCCGTCGACATCTGGACTGCTTGAATTATTTCAATTTCGGGGATTTAATACAGTAACGGCGAGCAAGCGAATCGAGGAATTTAATTAAATCTTTCAACGCATTCCAAGAGCCAGAGAATGTTTGGTGTTCGCGTAATAAGACGTTCTGATTGTGAGACAATTCTAAATACGAATGTAACTTTCTTTCATAAAATCAACTTTGGCTCTCCACTAAGAAATATCACGATGAGATATACTAACCTCCGAAAGTTTGATAAAATTGCGAGAGGTAGGTGAGAATGGACAATCGATCGGGCACCATGCAGGACGCCATGTCTTCGGCGTCTAGGAGTGCGGGAATTCCAAGATGTTGCTCGGCTGTTCTAAAAGCCAGCTCGTTGTTTCTGTACACATCGTCCTTGTTCAGGCTGTTGAAGTCGCTGTAACAAAAAAGCGACCTAAGTTTTTTATCTTTCGCTAAACAGTATTAATCTTCTACTAGCAGTTACTTCAGCGCAATCCCTCGGCCACATTTATTCCCTCCGAAGGTCACTCGATAAAACGTCGAATGTGTAAAAAGGATTTGTTGAATAAATCAGACTACTGATTACTCGTGGGCGTGGTATGGTGAGAATCGCTTTTTTCATTAGGAGCAAGTATAAATAACCACCGCTGCTAAATATGTAATTCGTAAACGACACGTTAAATATGTCTGGTCTTTAAAGAAAGAATAGTCGCGCGAAATCCGTTACTCTTAATAAACGAAAATGAGCAACGGATGTTGAATATCGAAACAATTTCAAAATAACAAAATTCATAATTTTTACAATCGACTCTGACACTTTTCTGACATGTGCTTGTGATTTTTTAATTTATTCAAATCGAAGTACAGTGCCGTATAAATGTGTATATGATAAATCTTCGGGATTTTAATATTGTCTTATAAACATCAAGTAATGTAAATACCTGTGTAAAGTTGGCCCCCAAACGTGAATCCAGATGCGATGAACTAAAGTCACGTTATCTTTTTCTTAACAATTAATTTAAAAAAGGATAACGTGACTTTAGCATTCATCGTATCTGGATTCACGTTTATTGCAAAAACTCTTGAAATAACTTTCTAATTGAAAGTATACAAATTAAATCTGCATCAATCTGCATCAATTAAGACTAGTTAAATAATTTCTAATTTGATCGTAGTTGACAGGCTAGTTCCCTATATGAGAATATACTGTTTTTTAAATAACTTTTTGACCAGAAGTGTGCAAAAGAAAATTCGAAATGTGCGTATTAACAATGAGAATAAGCTATAGAAAGTTAATTTTTTCAAAAATTGGGAGAGCCAATTCCAGTCGACAATTTGGTCTTTTTTTAAGTATTATATATACACTCAAGTTTGTATTTTGACTCGTACGATGGGATCCCTTAATTCTTATTCCCTTGATATCACTTTCTTGGATTTCTTCTTCTGAGAAATTTATCCAAAACATAGTTTTCTTCTCCAAGATATCAAAAAATGTCTTAAGTCAAAGATTGAAATTAATTAATTAGAAGAAAGGAAACCAATATTAAGTTTAATAAACTTTGCTTTGAGCAAATTCAGTCTGAATCTTTAGTCTAATACAGACTTTATGTAACCGAATTGTGGCTGCCATTGGCATCATAACTAACGATATGCTGCAGCGCACTCGGCCTGAAATAAAATACCGACTCGATATCCTTCGTGGCACTAAAAGTACTCATATGGGAATTTGATGATATGTGGTAGTTTGATAATGTTTTGTAAGAAACTCTTAGTTGATCTTTACAGCAAAAGCTTAGAGATATATTTGGATGTTCATTTTTATTTTATCATTTAATACCAGTAGGTTCGTTGTATACATTCCGTATAACAAAACATATCAGAAATATGTAGGCGTCTCTAGCAGATTATATCGAGAACGGAGTTAAATTTTCGCATGACTGAAAAGGTGCCACGAATGTGTAATTCATCTCGCACGTGTGCCACGTATTTGACTCGGTTATCAAGACGGGCCATTCATTGAGATATGCATTATTTATGAAGAAAGAAAATGAGAATGTAATGAAATTTTGATTAAACGGAAATAATCCATATTAAGTAAAGCACGATTGTTTCCGTAGGTGCTCTACCGTCGGTATCGGGATTCAAGTGACTGATTGATAATAACTAATCAAGCTAACGCTGTAATGCAAAACAGTAGACTTGTCGAAATAAAATTGCCGACAAAATCTTCTCAGTATCTCGGGATCTATAAAGAGATTCAAAAAAGATGACTCAGTCTGAAAAAAAAGTTCCAGTGTCCTTGGAAAATCGCGTAAACTAGAAAACCAATGCATTCCAAAAATATAATATTACATTTTCATCTCGATGGACAGTTTTCCTTTGTAATTTACAACCGATTATAAAATTGTATATAGAATCTATCTATTTTTTTATGGCGCATTGATGCCTATTTTTTTCGCAACTGTCTATACATCAGGCTACGAGTGTTCCACTTTTAGGAGAATCGATATGCACAGGCCGCATATCGCTCGGCGATTGAAGTAATACTTGAAATTCTAGGTCGAAAGATGAGCACCTGTTCGATGCTCGAGTTCGGTTGCCGGATTGATAGCGCGATGATGATGATGGCAAAGCATGTGCGGATGTCAAACTTTTCTTACGATTTATTTAGAGCGTAAACTCGACGTGTCATTCATTCTTCGCAAACGCGCATTGTGCATATGTCAGAAATTCCAGCATTTCGAAATTGCATTCGTGATTATTAAGAATCGAAGCAGCGTGAAATTCTAGGAGATATATCAAGAATCATTCGCGCGATCATTTCTCTCGGTCGTATCTATAGAGAGAATGATGTCGATTATATACAACGGAACATCGTATCGTCAATGTTTCTTCTCCAATAACTTACTACGGTAAGCTCCTGATACTCGCGATAAATTCGGGATCTGATGGACGACGGGCGGTCGTCTGGGACGAGGTCATGATGAGTCAGAGTTCCACCAGATCGGTGCCACACCCATCCCTTTTATTCTCTTCCTCTCATCCTCATCTTTCCCTATTGCTGCCGCAAAAAAAGACACACGAATTGACTCGTCTTTCGGCTTTATTGGTGATACTTCATCCACGTGCACACACCATTTGGCGTTAACCATCATATCAGAGTTGTCACAAATGTCTTATCCTCAGACACATAATTTTTCCCTGATACTTTTAATATTTTGAACTTTCATTCTGATTTAGAAATTATTAAATATATTATATAGACAGAGCAATTTAAAATAGCAATATTATATAAAAATATAAAATATAAAGCAATATAATAATTAGCAATATTAAAATAGCAATATAATAGCAATATTTATTATTAATATTGCTAAGTGTTGATATTGCTTGCATATAAGGAGGTTGTATATTTTTAAATGCAATATGTTAAGAATTACTTGAAAAAATTATTCTAAATTGCATTTAAAAATAATACAAAAAAGTAATACAAAAAAGATTATTCTAAATTGCATTTAAAAGTAATACAAAAAAATTAGAGAGACAGGACTATCTGAATCAAAAATTATTTCAATAAAAAGTAATATTTTTTTAATTTGTACTCTAGTAGTAGAAATATATGAAAATGTATTATAAAATAATGATAAAAATTTCAATTTTTTTATATAGTACTTTATAAATCAAAAAATATTTAAGTAAAGTTACATTGAGATTCAGACATTAATTGTTCAGTTAATAAACAAAAAATTTATTTGTTATAAACTAATTGGTGAATCTTAATGAAACTTTGCATAAATCATTTTTAGTACTTAAAATATTTATATAAAAAAATTTAGATTTTAGTTATTATTTAAAAAATTTTTGTTTATAATAATAAAATTAATATCAAAATAAAATAAATAATCTCTATAAAAATGTTTAGATTATATAAATGTTACTCAATAAAAATAGAATATTATGAACATAACTTTCACATGTATGTATTATGTATTAGGTTGTCCGGAAAGTTCGTGCCGACTAACCTATATAATTTAATAAACGTATACTAAAATTTTCTGCGTTTCAATTTTCTTTCAACATCGGCACGAACTTTCCGGACAATCCAATAGTTTAAAGCGTAATATTAATGTGTTTTATGCTCCTTAATTATTAAGTTGGTAATATTTCAAAACTGCGTAGATATAATATACGATATATTAAATTTCTTTAAAGTCAAGAATTTTTATTTTGTAGAAAATTTTGCAAAATCCCCTAACTTTTCCCGTTTTTCAAAATTGCCTAATACTTCCTTGATTTCCCTGATTTGTGATAACTTTACGTATATCTCTCGCAAAACCCCTTTCGTGAAATTACGATGGGCAGAAGGAAGAATCAATGGAAAAACGTTATATATCGAATGAGTAATCGTGCAACCGAACGAATGAATCCAATAGAACGTATAGAGATCAGAGTTGTATATCACGGCATTAACCATCTTTGAACGCAATACTGCGAGCGAGCGAAAGTTCAAACCGCAACAGCACCACGTTATGACTATAAATTCTCGCCTCTTATCCTTTTGCTCCACGTTTTAACGCGCGCATCTACAGAATTAACGTAACCTCACGAATTTCACCAAAGGCGCAAAGGTTTCGTACAACGTGATTATTCTGCGATCGGCACACCTGTCAGTTTCACTTTCACTCGTGCTTCTCGTCGGAGATCGCCGAGATATTCTCACGTGATACTCTTCCGGGTTATTCTCATCCGATTCTTCAATTCAGTTTCTCGACAATAAAGGTCGATCGAGTCGCTCTTCTTAATTTTCAATCGCTTTGTACGCAAATCTACTTACGACAATAACTATCAAGAAGCATTATCATGCGCATCGCGACACGGAATCTCTTTGTCTTTTGTTGAAAGTTAAAGTAACTCTGAAACTTCCGAAGTTCACTATGAGAAGACGAAGAAGGAAGCAAGAAAAGGAGAAAATTTTGTTTCAACCGCGAGAACGGAAAGTAATAAAAGAAAACTTCTCGCCGTTTTATTGCTTCCGCCGTTACGTCCGAGTAGATTTTACTGGACTGACCGAGACAATAAGAGGAGGAAAAATGAAGAATAACTTCGCAACGATCCTTCGTCCGCGATAAAAAGCGAATTCCCTTCGTCGTGAGAGACCTTGACTATTGGAGCGAAGTTCTAAGAGAAATTCTCATACAAACAAACATTTTTCCCTACAAAAAGGACGTTATTCTTAAGGATACACTTTGAAAAGTATAAATTTTAATATATACTTTTAAAAATGATGTGCTTCACTCACAATTATAATATCGAAATAGATAAAGACGTATATATTGTGTCTATCAAACTGTGATAATGCTACCTTCGATAGAAATTCAAAAGAATAGAATAAAATCAATAAAAATCAAGATGAAGAGGCTTTTTGTAAGTAGATGATAAAGGAAGATCGAGCTCTCTTGTTTCGATAAGAGCGCATTCCTCTTAAAAAACGCCACTTAATCTGTAACAGGATACATCTTATCATGATATATGACGGGCAATGATCCAATCCACAAATTACTTTGCGGTTTATCCTGACATTTCGAGACGTAAATTATAAAATTATTAAACTTATTGTAAAATTAACCGCGTGATTTACATGAACTATTTTCCCGCAAAATTCTTTGGCAACGTGTACAAATATATTCTGTTCGCGTTGTTTATTCGTTCGCGTTAACGTATTGAATGATTGCGATAATTATCAGATGTTTTCGACTACCAAGAGATATTTATTTGGACAGCCGCCAGGAAAGCTGGAGGTGTTGTCGTTTCATGAATAATTGAAGACAAATCTCTGCGACGTTTGCGATGTTGTCTAGTTTTTTTACTCTAGTTTATCGATTATCCGCCAAAAAGAATATGCGGAAGAAAAAACAAACTCGATTATCAACATTAACACCTCAAGGTTATTATTTTCGAATTTTAAAAAACAAAACCGTAAATTGAAATCAACTTTATTATTCGATGAAGGAATGCAAATTGTGTGTGTCAGAGTATCGTTTGACCAGTAAAGAAAGCAGGTTACATTCTGTAATACATTGGGCCGCGTTATGCAATATGCAACTGGGTTAAAACGTATCATCGACAGACTGTAATTTGAAGAAAAATGTTTCGAAAACACTAAACGGTCGAACATAGAATATGTTCCAAGCGAAAATCACGGAATACAGTGTCACCGATCTCACATTGCATAACGTGACACAATTCCAACTGCATTCCATTATCACCTATAAAACATCGGGACACATCCTTCGTGTGATGGGTGCAGGCTGCTGTTGCTTTATCGATCGTCAATTCACTGAACTTCTATTTTTAGAAGGACCTTCCTTCGTCGCCGAGCGCCGGCGACGCGAAATCTTGGGATTACTATGAAGGAGACAATCTGTCGGAGATGCCTCAGAAATCTCCAGTTCTTTGCATCTTTGGGATCACCAGAGATTCTCGGATATCTTAATAATTCCTCAAGTATTAATGCACAGATACCATGAATTCCTCACTTTTTTTTCTTGTTACACCTTATTGCATTTAATATCTAATATCTATAATAGTAATGAAATAATCGTGTCGAAATATGCACGTCGAATAAAGAATCTTCTCGAGAGTCAACGGACTGCACATAATTAAGATGAGATATGATCGACGAGCCAGAGGACGAGACGCATGAGCGTCCAAGCTCTCTTACTTAATTTACGTATAATTAAGATGAAGCGGCAAGTCGGACGAGTACTTGAGAATTCTTTCTCACTTAATTTATGAGACAATCGGCTTAACGAGGACAATTTGAAGACGCGTCAAGAATCGAGCAATGTGTGGATTAAATCGCACCTCTAAGAGTACACATGATCGGCCCATTGAAATCGATCGTTCCCAGGAAATACTGCAACTCGAGAGAGCAGCATTCGATAAACGGCACAATGATTTGGCATCGTTATCTATGTAATATGATATCTTTCTGAGATATTTACCATGTTACAACGGCAGTTACATATTCGCTATGAACTTACATGAGGTCCGGCCGAAAGTGATGAATCATGGCGCAGAAGGCGAGCCCATCTCTCCAGGAGGTGGTCATGTTTTGCACGTTTACACCCGGATAACCGTCGGTTATCCGACGGCACCAAAGCTCCAGCGCCTTCGTACCACGTCTCTCACTCATCGTGCTTATGGCTTCCTTTTTCCTCTTTTACACTTTGCGAGAGACTTCCTCTAACGGCGATTACCTCTCTTTCACTCGGCCTACTCCTCTATGGTCTCTATATCGTTAATGCGACTTTTCAATAATACTTTGGCTTCTGGAAAAGAGAAACAAATTTTCACATGTAAATAGGTCCACAGCTACAATGTGCAAAGATAATTATCAGAATATTAAATTAACCCTAAGGGCAACTTTAGCCAAACTCCTATTAACTTAATCGACGGTTAACTCAACCGACAAAATCGCTTAAAACCCATTTCTACACCTGAAAGAGCAATTTTGCTGATGAATCTAATGACCCTATACGATCAACAATATTATTAGTACTAACAAATAATATTACTGATAATATTATTGATCGTGTGGTTAACATAAATTGACAGTTCGATTTGCAAAGTCAAGTTTTTTTCGAATCGAAAATTCTTATAGAATTAGAAAAAGTTAAAGAGAAAAGTTAAATTAAAATTAAATTACATTAATAGAAACAGGCAAAAAATCGTTTAAAACCAGATCTCTACAATTTGTTATTTTTAATGTTTTTTTCGGTTCATTAAATATAATTCTATTAATTAATTTAATACTTTTATTGGTATCACGTAATTTTCTCTAGGGACGAGTGTTGCATTTGCAACATTCACTTTAAAATTAAATTCACGGTTAAATTCGAAATCTATTCGATTAGCTATATACTTAAGAACTCTGAAGATGGAAATATATGCAGCACATATATGCACTAAACATTAAAATATATAATACTTCTAACCGCCAGAACATTCTGCTAACTTAATATTAAGCTAACAACGAGTTTCTTTTAAAAGGCACATAAGTATAAAATTATGTTTTGTGACACAAATTAGCACATAATAAATCTAAATAGTGCATAATAAATCTAAATAGGTCTTTTTCGATTCTGCTCATTTGGTTCTGCTAGCTTGACAGAGCGTGAATGATGTATGTCGATATAGTATAGTAAATACAGTATATACTCTCTTAAAGCTATTTTTTTTAGTAAATTCAGAATAAAAATGATCAAATTATTTAGACTCAAGATTTTTAAAAAATAAAATTGTTAAAGGAGAAAGGCTATGAGTTAAAGTTAATTCTTAATCTACATTCAATATCTGATCGCTACAAACATTTAAAATACAGACCTTCATTAAGTCTTCAGTGTTACACATAAAAAGTATACAATTGAAAATAAAAATAAAAATAAAAAGATCGCCATATTATTACATGTAGTAGTTAAGTAAGTTAAGTTACATGTAGTAGTTAAACGTTTAAATATAAAAATTGACTAAATCTTGTCGATGATTAAATATAAAAATTAAAATTTTTTCGCATTTAAAAAATTTTATTTATCCGCACGAGATCGCATGATTAAAATTATTAACATTATATATATGTTTCCATTTCAGCGGCATCATCAATTTTCAATATAATATATTGTAGTTGATAAAAAACGAGGTAAAAAACTTGCTCTCACTGTAATCGTTTGGAAAATAAAATCCATCGTCATATGTATTTGTCTCAGTAAATCGATGCTCTTTGTGTTGTTAAAACTTAAAAATTGTCCACACAATTGTTTTCTTAGTTCATACGATTGCAGTACATTCACAAATTTCCTTAGATGTACATTATATTGATTGTTAAAATTGATAAAATTAATTATTATAATCATCTCTCCAAGATGATGTTACACAATTCAGAATAAAAAGTTTTTTTTTTTTAATGACAAGACAACGTCGTTCTTAGAATCAAATAGTGCTGATTAATCTCTGACTACATTTCCGTTACGTGTAAATAAATGTGAGATATTTTCTCAGAGATCTCTCGCAAATGTTTGCAGTGTCACGAATGTTAAACGACATCAAAGAGAGAAAAGGAGGAGAAAAAGAGAGAAAGAAAAAGAGAAAACAGGAGTGTCACCGCAAATCGGTGGCGCCGTTTGGAATGATTGAGTGTAAGTTTTGTCGTAACGGGCTGTATAGAGCCGCTCTCAAAAGTCATCGCTAGGATAACAGAGAGAGAGGGGGAGGGAGGGGGAGAGAGAGAGAGAGAGAGAGAGAGGGAGAGAGAGAGATTGCGAACTGCAAAAATCGCTAATATCGTTGACGATCGGGGACCGAATGATGTTTTGCGCAACGTGAAAGCGGGAGGCTGCGCCGCGTGAGCAACGCGTGAAACCACGCACCGGGTCAAGCGTAAAATCGCGCGCGCGTGTTTTACGCGCTGCATTCGTTAGCCCTTAGTTATTCCACGCATCGTTTCCTCTTAGTTATACATTAAAGAATCCGCGAACCGAGACAATTCGCCGAAATCGATGAAAGAACACCGGGCAGAAGAAGGAGAAAGGATGGAGGTATATCGTAACAAGTTACGATTTCGCGTAGTGATTAAAAATTGAGGGCGATATATGTTTTATATAATGGGAAATCCGCGATACGGTATAGAAATAATTACAAGTTTCAGAAAGAAATCGCATTGATCTCTCTATTTTCACCTTTCTCGGCATGAATCGATAAATGAGAAAAGGAGAAGGTGACTTCTGAGAAATCCATCCATTCAGGATCATCTCGCCTCTCGTTCTATAACGCGTGACGCTTAGATTAATGGCTCCTTCGTGATTTTAGCAAATACGAAAGTCGACCAACAACGACACGTCTATAAATGAGATTCGTAATTGCTTTAAAACGCAATAAAGCGGCGCTGTGTTATGCATTACACGCGATATCACATGAGTGCGAAAAACTGGAACGGATAGATAGTTAACGGGAAAGTGCTTGGTCGATCCTCGCATTTAGCCTAGTCTAACCGGTTTCTACCAAACACGGTCTCCTATCTGTAACAACATTTGTCTAATTATATCCCATTGGCCTCTTTCACGGAAAAAAAAAAAAAAAAAAAACACTCGGTTTCCAGTTTTTGCTCGTAGCCAACAGCGAAACGTTTATGCTGCGCGAATTCATCTGTTATTTGTCGTGTATAGATCGTAATAGCAAAAACATATAATATTTTAAAATGACAACACGCTTTTATTGCAACGCACTTTTTTCACTCTTTGGAAATACGCTCGGATTTCCACTGCTTTTGTATCCTCTTTTCTTTTTCTCCGACAAGTCCGCGACACACTTGTCTCATCGGCTTTCACCGGCAGACAAAAATCATCACGTTTTATAGTCAGTAGGAGACATCCAAGTCTCCAATGTCCGTTTTTCCACTCTCGAAGGGAAAGAAGAAAAAAATAATGCAAAGAGCTTCGACAACAAAACGCTCGTGTCAGACGGTTTTGTATGAATTACGATGTAATCAGGTCCAGAAGCTTTCCGTCGCGCTTTCCGGCACATCGCCTCTCCTCCGCTTAGTCGTTAAGCTCCCCGATTGCAACGGTACCCCAACGTTGTGCACCGGTGATTAATGGTCCAGCCGTGAGTGAAACGTAAGTGCGCAGAAATAAGTAAAAGTTACATGCGGCAAAGTGGTCGGCCTTGTTCACCGTTCGCCAACAGCCGCGAGGCTGTAAAGGCCGCATTACAGGTGAGACTGGTGAGACACCGTGAGACAGAGGGGGCGGATGTTCCGGCGAGGTGAAGGCACAGCCCTGACGGGTGCATAAACGTATGAGCATTGTCTCCTCAACCGGTTTCCTTCACGATCTTTACGAAAAATGGCGGAGACTTATCTGTACATGGAAAGAACGATTTTCCTAAGATATCTAATAATTTAGCTAGATACAGAGTTGCGTCAAATTCCTCATCCTATAATAAAATTCCATTTTTCCTAATTTTTAGATGAAATTTTGTTATTTTCTCTGACTTTTAATAATATTTAATACAATTTTTCTATTTTCATGTTAATTTGAAAACCGTTTTTTACGGAGCAATGTAAAACTATTAATGTTGTGGCTGTTGCTTGCATTTAGCTGCTAAATTGATGTTATACTATTCCAAAACTACAGAGGAATAATGTATGCATATTAAACTTTTTTAAAGCTAAGAATTTTTATTCTTCAAAAAATATAAAATTTTCTAAATAAGAATTTTACTGGATCGTATATTTGAAAATTCAACAATAAGAAATAGAAGTAATGGGTCTAGCTTTGATTATGGCCATTACTTCTATTTCTTATTGTTAACATTTTCTAATTTTTCTCTGATTTCCCTGATCATTTTCAATTTTCCTGACGTTTCCCTGATTTTGTGACCATCAAAATAATTACGTAGGAAATTTAAACATAATGAACAATGCTGCCAAAAATTTTTGATATTTTATCAATCAGCTTCAGCGCCTTATAATTATTTTGATAGTTCAACAAAATTATTTCCATATATCAAGCAAATTTTTAGATATTTCAACAAAATCATTTTTCCGTGTAGCAGCGCCCGATTGATAAATGAATAACAGTCGACATATTCTGCTGGTGACATCGTAAGACTTTTGACAGTCCTCTCCCAGCAGTTTTCTCTACTTAATTGTTAACGCCCGCAATAAGATCGTTAAAGTGAAAACCGGACGGGCGTGCGTTATTTATGAACCATTCTAAGGAAAATCAGGTGAGAATCAGTGGAAACAATTGGAGTGAAAGTAAAATACTTTTTACTTATAAGATAAAAGTGAAAATTATTAAGCGTATGTTAGATATAACCACAAAATCGATCACTTGAAGCAAAGAAAGCTAGACAATTCAGCGAATATCGCTTTCGCGCAAGTTTAGCGCAATGTGTCGCAATCGGTGCGATCTCTGGTGAAAAGATAATATTTAACGTACAATCATGCAGTGAGAAGAGAGTATCGAGCGTGTTGAACAGGCTGAGCCTAAAGGCACGGCTCTCGATATCAAAGAAGGGTTCGATGCAGCCAAGCCTTTCGAAAGACATCGGCTGGCCTGGCTGGCCACCGCTCGGCAAAAGTGAAGGTGCATCTATGTGGCCCCGTAAGCCTGCCACGTACCCCAAGAAAGAGAGACAGAAGAGGCCTCATGAAAGATTCATGCTGGCGAGGAATACGGCCTGCGGCGTTGCGAGACACCTGCAGTAACCTCCGCCATCACAAGTTTCACAGGAGATTAGGATGTTCCCGATATTTTTACAGTTAATCGTG